AGGTGTAACAGTGCCATAAATCCATTTCCATCTGCGCATTTAAATTATGTATCAAGGGAAACCAATAATGTACCAATATCACATCACTCGTGGAAGGACGTTAAAGATAGACAATAAGAAAGGAATGAGGGGAAGGGAGAATGTGTGGGGGGAAGGGCAAAGAAGAAAAAAAAAAAGTTGGAGTAGCAGATAGTACTACACTCATCGCTGAAACATGAAGCTGGCTCGGTTGGCCTGCGTGTCATGTTCTAATCTTGGAGTCGATCATTCGAGAGAAACGAGGTTACGAGGGTCGCTGTCGTGTCGTGCGGGTCGGTTCGATTCAGGTTTATCGATCGCTTCGCTGACCGGCTTGTGCGACTTCGAGGTGCCTGGTTCTTTCACTTACAGAATCTCGGCAATCACGCCCATTGCGAGGGCACCAATCACGGCGGCGGAGCCAGGAAGCGTGCCCGTGTACGCGGCAGATCCGGCAGACGAGGAGGTAGACGCAGCAGCTGTCTGGGTGGCGCTAGTGGTGGCTGAAGCTGTAGGTAAGGTAAAGAGAACACGGTTAGAGACCCGTCTATTTCACATCCTGTACGTACTCACCCGGTGTTGTGGAGGCGGAGGGAGCGGTGCTAGATGGTGAAGTAGTCTGGTGGTTGATGCAGGGGCGGGAAGTGGTTTTTGTGATGATGGTGCTGGTATGTGGGCGGATACATGGTGATGGTGATGATGATGGTGAAGATGATGATGGTTGTGATGGTGACGATAGTGATGATGATAAAATAGAATTTTCCTTACTTGTTTCAGCCTTGCCAACCTTGGTCACATTGAACTGCTGCGACTGGCTCAGGATGCCGGTGTTCTGGGTGGTGTTGGATTCGGCGTTGAGCTGGTAGCCCTCACTATGCGCGTTCGTTAGGATCGTACAATATATGCCATAATAAGGCGGCTGGGCTGTTTGAAGATACATACGCAACTGGAATACCGATGACCTTGTCAACGGTGTATTTGCTATCCGATGTCTTGACATTGGCGATCTTCTTGCTGACGGTGGGCTGGCTGTTCATGTTGACCAGTATGAGGTCGAAGTTCGTAGGGTCAGAACTGATCCGGGAAATGAATTAGTTGTGTGTGACAGTCAATGGGCCGATGTTCACTTACGCCACAGTCGTCCACTTGATGGTGTAGGGCTTGCTAAAGTCCACCTGGTCACCATTCTTAGGCTGGGTGATTGTAATGGCTGTGAATGCTGATGTTAGTCCAAGGTTGATGATGCAAAATCAAAGGAACATGTACCCAGTGCTGTAACGGCGAACGCCATCATCGAGACAACAATGTTCAAGAAATGCATTTTGATGGTCTATCTTCGACGAGTGAAGCTGTTCAAGGCGAAGGATGTCGTGTCTAGAATGAAAGAGTAGCGATAGCAGGGCTAACGAGTGTTTTCAGTTCGTAGGATATTTAATGGCTTGAGGGAATTGATGAGTTCGATGAGCTGGGTTGAGAGGGCCTTATAAATGTATGGATGGAGGATACACCGCAACGAGCCACCTCATGGCAAGGGTCCATCATGGCGATATCTGCCAGCTTGGGCCGCGTTTGATCCTTCTTACTTGCCTGGTACCCCTGTGCTTCCCTGTAATATCAGCCGATAGGAAGAGAGAAAGGCAAGTAACAGATGGAAAGCCAAAAGTTGTCTATTTCGGGCACGCCTGCTGCCAAGGGTCTGGCGTGCATGCGAGGGGGGCTGCAGATGATCTGTTCGCCTCCTCGAACCTTCAGTCCTGTACTCCCGATCTCCTTCTCCAGGGAGGCTCCAGGAGTTTTGATATGCATGAGACGCGTCTAGTGGGCAGATCTTGACGGCAACTGCATGGTAAAACTCAATAACCGTCCACCAAGACCAAAGGAGGATCCGCGCCCGGCAAAGATAGGGCACCTCGTGTTGCAGGGCGTGCTATCCCCTTCGAGGGAGAACGAGGATACCCCTCCTTTCCGCCTTTCGGGTTTATGACGTTTTGTTTCACCAGCAGGGGACTCCCAGAATAGTGCGTCGGATTGGTTCTCAGTCAAAAATTAGCTTAAAGCGCAACAATACCGTCGGATAGTCATGGAAGGAATCCTATGCATTTTACAGAAGGTTTCGAGACGCTAGTGCTGCAAACTACTCAGCACAGGCTGCATAGTATGCAAAGGTTTCACTAGTGCCAACTGAAAAAAAATAGTGATCTGGACACGAGAACATGTTGGCCCTCCAGATAATATGGAAGCCACCAAACATCATGACGGTGCGTATCTTTGGTGGCGTTAGACTCAACCTTGTATGTCGATGACGCGGTGCTGCTTGTTGGTGAAACAAGCATATTCGATTTCTCATCTGATCATCTGTCGACTGTTATTGTGCGAGCCTAGACCCTGGAAGAGCAAAGTCAACGATAATTATCCTTTACGTGCGCATATGCGCATGTTAAGTTGGGAAACACCGCTTACTGTTCTCCCGCTCCTTTGCTGTCGGAGACAGACAGAGATAGATAGTCACGTCGTACACATCACACCGCACTAGCTATGGCGGGCACGGGATAGGTCATATCGTGGCGACGCACGAACTCGCCTATTGAATTTTGCTTCCTGTTAGAGGCCGTCTGGGACGCGTGTTTGTACGTGTGTATCAAGTGTGTCAACCTGCTAATTATAGCTGATGATGGGCGCTCAAGAGAGTCCTAAGGTACTGAGAAGAATCAGTAGGGTTGTGCAGAGCAAGGAAGCTCGACGATATGAGGTGCAGCACTCGTCATAGTCTCTATATGTAAGTGGTGAATGGAAGGTAGGCTAGCGACACTTTCGAGAATTGAGGGTCGGGGATTTGTCTTCAAGAAGATGTCAACTAAATTGATGACAGAGCAGACTGACAAACAGACATGTGACCACATGCTACATCACCTGTCAGGGGAACTCTTTCGCTCTCAACGTTTTCACGATCGATCAGTCTTAGCCTCTCCAATTTATATTTAATTGATCCACATATCTCAATCCATGGAAATTGTCTGTCAAATGATCCAACACTTAGTGGTTAAATGTTATGCTAATCAGGGGATACTGAATGCCTTATTTGGAAAGTATTCAGGTATCACTATATGGCAGTGAGGCGGCATGCCAGGTCAGAAAGCTTCATATGAGCACCAGAGATACTAATCATTACAGTAAAGCTCTCGGCTCAATATATTGCTATATGGTTTCTTGGGGTTTCAACTCTAGAACAGACGGAATGGCCACCCCTTCAAATAGCTGCACATTGTCTCTTTTGGTGCTTCGTGACTGGGTGTGCGCCGTCTGGAGAATGGAAGAGCCCGACGCATACAAAATGTGTATTGCATCCATCTAACTAGCTCTGCATCCTGTACATCTTGTTTACGCTCCTCCGTGCTTAGCATCAAGGAGCTAGAAATCTTGTCTAGCAAAAGTACCGAGCTTATGCACTCGAAGGCCGAACACCATATCTTCCAAGACTTTACGTCTAATCCTGATGACATGCCCGAGCAGTCTCCACTCCAATAAGCCTGTGACCCATCATTACCCCGGACCTTTAGAGGCTCCGAAACGCCGGTGTTTATGCGTCTCGGATGCAGGGTCTCATATCAGTTTGCCGGTGTGCTGACGCTAATCAATCCATTGATATAGACTAGGGCTCTTGAAAGTCATCTACGCCGTTTCCAGAGAAGCGGCTAGAGGAGTCCATTCCGAAGCGAGTGTCAGTCTGGTCGGCATGGCAGCATCCAGCTTGCTAGATGGACAAGAGACCGTGCGTAATCTCTCCACCATGCTTGGGTTCTCGCAAGTTCGTTTCAGGACTACTCACACGAAACCACCCAACGCCCATACGAAACGAATCAGATGCAGGTAGGGGTTGGTTGGCAAACCCTGCAATCGACGGGTCGCTGCTTTTGACAGCTGAAATGGACTTCGTCGGCGCCAAAGTATTTGATCCCCAAATATAGAGAACCAGCCCAACCATTTGTTTTGTCTGTCATAGAGGTATTACGGCAGTAGGCTGAAATTAGCTTCATGCGGACGTGCACCAGCCAATGTTCATCATTAAAAGCAGTCAGTTTGCGCCATAAACACTGCCACAGCTATCAAGAATGGCTAGGCTTGCACTGAGAGCAGAATACACTGTTCCAGGCCTTCTTCGACAATGCTGTTATACTTTTATCACTCTCTACGCATTAATATTGCCCGTATGTCGTATTGAAGATGGGTTAAATGCTGATTACAACAACAGGAGTGCAAGCACAGTATGGATTTAACTCAAGCTGCGCGGCTCCTGCTTTATATACAACTTTAACTCGGCGATATTCCCCATGTTTAATCGAGACAGGCTGTGGGGCAGCCGAGAGGCAGGGATCAAGGGGTCACGATCTGACACGTTCTTGGATGCATTTGCGCAGGAATCTAGGGATGTGCCACCACGAGGACGCGCGCGATACTATCCTTGGTCCTACACCCCCCTCGCATTCATCGGTATGCTTCCCGTGAAGCTGGGCCTTGGTTCAAGCAATTCGCGTCTGAGAAGTGTCACCTAACGGCGAATTGAGGCCCTTTTACCCGCTACGCGTCCCTTCGTGCTCACATTCCTTGGGATCCCATTACACCCATTGGAGGAAATTGTGCTACATCAACTAATTTTGGAGATTCCTCACCCTTGCAAGCATTATTAGGAAAAGCCCAAAAGCCGGTAAAAACAATGAAGGGGATGCCAACAATCGCAATGTTCCCACAATTGCGCGATGGTGCACATACACAGTATGGCTTCTCTCACTAGAGAAATGGTTACGAATATGGTTTGCCAGATGAATGCAGCGATCCATGGTTTAGCTATGTGTGCTGGCTTAGTCTAGGCATTTCATTCGCTATGCCTCATTGGCATATCATGTTTCGTGATCAAGTGGGCTTTTATGATATATAAACCAGGGCTTGTTCACTCTCGTCTTCACTTATGCAGTTCTCGTTCACATCCCAATCAACCCTTGTTTTTGCCCTTCATCGCTTGTCACTCCCCTAGTTTCAAGCCTGGCTTAGTCTGTCTTCGAATTATCCAGAGCAATCTGCAATAAGCCTGAGTCATCATGAAGGCCCAAACAGCGGCAATCATTCTGTCGTTCTGCAGCTCTATTCTCGCTGTTCCTGTCCACAACCCGAATGCTAAACGGGCTGCTATTCCGAGTGGCCAGCCCCAATGGCCCGCCAGCCCTTTTGGGAGCGGGTTCCCCTTCACTGTTGGTTCCCACGGGACCAAGGAACAAGCTCCTGGCAGCAGCAGCATAGCCACTCCTTCGGGCACCCCTTCTAGCGTCCCGTCGGGGGCTTTCCACGGAATCTCACGGCCTGTCGCAACTCCCTTCCCTGACCAACAAGTCCATGGACCCTTTTCTATCAATGCTCCGCCAGCCAATGGGGCTGCTTCCAGGCCGACGGCAACCTCAGTGAGCGCTCCGGCCGGGCCAGTTGCTGGCGCTGGAAGACCTCAAAGCCAATCTTCCCAGGGTTTCCCGTCATACGGACAAAGCGAAGGCGCCCCACCTAGTGGCGGTCTTTCTGGAGGCCCGCCCTCACAGGGTACAGTCCCGAGCAGCCAAGACCCCGGTAGCATTGACACGTCCTCTGCTTACGAAGACGGATATTATGTGGGATACACCCCAACTGGCCACTCGACTGTTCCTTCCAACAGCGAGCCTACTGGCATCCCTGGAGGTCAGCAATCTCAGGGCTACCCTCCGAGCGGACAGTATCCTGGTGGTGAGTCCACCGGGTCACCTTTCGGAGGTCACTCTGAGGGCACAAGTGGCGAGTACCCTTATGGCCAATCTACTGGAGTTCCTTCAAAAGGAGGATACGCTCCTAGTAACTCCCAGACTAGTGGGCAATATCCTAGCTCTGGCTCCGGATCTGTGTACCCGGGTGAAGAATCAACAGGACCATTCGGCGGCAGCTACCCCAGTAAACAGTCGAGCGGACGACCCTCAACCAACGGCTACCCTAGCACTGGACACTCCACAAGCTCTTACCCCACCACTGGATACTCCGAGGGCCCTTCGTCTGAAGCTTCCTACCCTTCATCTGGACACTCCGCAGGAACTTATCCTAGCTCTGGTCAATTCGAGGGCCCCTCCCAAGGTACCTATCCTTCCACTGGGAAATCCACGGGCTCCTACCCTGGTTCAGGACTCTCTGGAGGTACTTCGGGCGCCAGCTATCCTTCGTCTGAGCATTCGACGGGCGGCTACCCTGTTTCGGGCTCTTCTCAGGGCCCTTCCAGTGGCGTTAGCTTCCCTTCCACCGGTCACTCCGCGAGCACCTACCCTGGATCTGGGTATTCGGAAGGCCCTGAGTCCGGAAGCACCTATCCTTCCTCCGGACACTCCACTGGCAGCTTCCCCAGCTCTGGATATTCCGAGGGTCGTCCTTCCACCGGAGCTAGCTACCCTGCCACGGGTAGCTCCCAGGGCGGTTACCCCGGGGCTTCTCAGGGCGGGCACGGGTTCTAAAGAATGAGAAATGAGAAGGTAGTGGTAAATTTGAGGTAGAAGCGAATTCAGCGTTCGGTAATATAATGTCAATTTAGTTTATGTTTTGTCATGCAATAATGCGTGATGGGTCTAGTTCAGGCTGAAGAATATTTTAGTCATCAAACTTGATATTGTAGCTCTTGCATTTAGGATCCTACCTAAGACTAAATAGCTCGATCATGGCGAAGTGAGCATAGTATATATACACACATCGAAGCTGCTATAGAACCGCGGCGTTTCGGATTTTAACGTAATCAAACCTCTACCTTGAAGTCATGCTGTCGCCTTAGACACTGACTAGCAAATGCTATATGCTATTAACACTTACCACTACGTAGTATGAGATGAAAGTCCCTATTTGTAGGAGGATAGTAGTAACTTCAATAGTCAAGTGGTTGCCAACTAGGAAGTAATACTACTAGTTATATAGATATTGAAGTCTGCATCTACCCGCATTTAGAATATATAAATTGTGGAGAATCATTCAATGAACACAACTATCACAATGAACATTGCAAGTATAAATACATTGATCATATCATATAACTTATCAGAAATATATACTACTCATATCACTTGCACTGCAGACACCAACCCACCGAGACAGCCATACAAAGACACCTCACAGGACGTGCAGAACAGAAGTAAACAAATTTCCAACGACTCCCTCAAATGATGAACATACACCTACTTATTAGTAGAATACCACCAACTAATCAAGCAATTCCCACCAAAAGCTTAACTATATACCTAAGTAGCCCCCCCCCGGAACCCCCCACATGAGGCATTTATCCCACCCACCCATTCATTCCAGATACTACTAGTACTATATACTTACTCAATAATTCTCCTGCACATCACCACCACCACCAACCAATAAATTACAGATACTTAATCACACAAACCACCACCCCTCCTGCAAAAAAGAAAAAGAATTCCCCCAAATCTATGCAAGGGGAACAAGACCCAAAACAAGCTTTGACTCGACAAGGCTTGTTGGGACTTGGCTTTGGTCTGTTCGTACTTACTTACTTAACTGTACATTAAGTACTTAGTTTACTGGCACCGGTCTCGTTCGGTCTCTGGGGAGGTTACTGTACAGTATCATGTAAGTAACTGAATTTTGTTTTCATGGGGGTTATGTGGATTTGAGGGTTTATGTGTATTACTACTACTACTATACTAAACTAACCGATATGTGGGTGGATGAATCATTGTTATGGGTTTTATACTCCCGCTGCGAAAGTAACATATTATAATCATATTCCATATTAGGAAGTAGATGGTGGTTCTGCTAAATATCAGTAACTACCAAGTAGTTCTAACATTATTCTTTTCTCGCCACACACACAGTTTTTATACAAATCTTCCAAGTATGGAAACAACTGTATAAACCGACCCGGTTTAACCGACAATAATTACTTACAGTAAAAGTTCATGGGGGAACTGCATGATCGATCAGATGACGGGGATCATCATCATCAATCAACAGCTGAACCTAGAACCATCTGAACTGCAAGCACAAGCAAGCCACAAATGATGACAATTTAAACCCACCCACCCACACCGCCGGACTTAGAACCGGCTTTGCTCACCGCTACTACAGTATGCATACATACATACACAAATTACTCCGTACATATTCCTTTACTGTACATTATTCAATACATGATGCATACATTGACAATCTATCAAATTATTCATTCTTTACAACCGGTTTCTTTATTTGTAAATTTACAGAGTAGATACCGAAAATAGTGTTTCGGTGTCTGCGTCTGTCGCACAAAATGCTTAGCGCTCTATTGTTGGTTCGCTGCAGCTTGAGTTGACGTAATCCCCGATTAGGATTACTACCTGTCTAACAGGCATCTGCGTTGTCCCTGATGAGAAGAATGATCGATCCACTGCGGATCGGGGCATGGAAGGAACGATCGCACTCCACAAACTAAGAATAGTCTTTCTTCATTGAGACAAAGAGACCCGCTGTCTATCGTGTGAAGAACGCTGCAGAAATCAGCTCTATGTATGCGGGTAGTGAAAAAGGCAGAGCGAGTGACTTGACACAATAGCCAGAAAGAAAGGACCTAGGGAGGGTAAAAATAGGCAAATGTACACAGGGATAGACAAAACCCGCGAGGGTAGTGAAAAAAAAGCCGAATAAAAATAAAATAGCAATAGTAATCTTTATAAAATTGGATGCTATAGTTTAGTGTCACTCTCGGACTGCTAAATAAAACACAGATAAATCAGGCATTTATCATCATCTCTCATCAAGGTCATGAAGACGTGGGTGTCACTCAGACGGTGTGGAGGTGGTGGTAAGGTGCCGCGAACAGACCACAACACTATGTAGCAAGCCGCGTCTCATCGAAAAGCAGCCCTACTGCACCCATGGCGGCACGTAGAAATTGCCATTGCTGTTTTCGCTCATGGGGGCAGTATTGGGGTCGAAGAGTCCCACGTTCCAAGCGGCCTCGGTTGGGGGCGTGGCCATCGACATGCTGGCAGTCGGCGTAGTCACCGGCTTGAAGGTCTCAGCATTCGACATGGCGAAGGCATCCTCGGTCGGAAGTTGCTTGGCTTCCATGCCCATGGTGGCCTGGAGCTGATGCTCCAACGCCGCGGTGGACTCGTTGGCCGACTTGAGGAAGTCGTCAATGTCAATCGACTCAAGGTTATTCGATGCCAAGAGCTGTGCCTGAGGAAGGCCGATGAATGACGAGGCCGAGCTAATGCGGAAATGGTCGATATCGGAGCCCTCGCTGACGCTGTTGAGATCGTGCAGATCGCTGCCCGTACGTCCCAAGCCAGGGATCGGCGCGAACTCATCCGCTTCAGAGATGTCACCGGACGATGACGGGGCTGGGTATCCGGGAGCCATAGAGTTGTAATCGAAGCTTGCGTAGGAGGGTGCTTGAGTGCTTGTCGCGGCTGGAACTTCCGAGGAGTACAGAGGGAAGCTTGACCAATCTACTGGAGGGGCGCTGAATGCGGTCGACTGAAGAGACACGTCGCCCTCAGGGGACGTGAAGAAGGGCTCCTTGTAGGGGTCCTGGAATGCGACACAATTGACAGGCGATGTCGCTGTTGTTGGGAAGGATGAGAATGATGACATGTCGAAGGGTAACCCCGACGTGACCAGTGGGTCCAGAGGGGTCTTCATAGGCATCGAGACCGGCTCGGGAACGCCAACGTCACCAGCGTTCTCCGCTGTCTGAACTTGAGGGAAAAAGGACGAGATGTCGAGTGGGGGAACGGTTGTCGGGACGTTGTCCGGCGAGACGACGGGGGCACTCTCAGGAGAACCATGTTCAGACTTGACACGGCGATGTTGTCCGCGCGCGGGTGACTGTTCTGCAGGCTGTTGTTGGTTCGCGAAACCCTCGTTGAGCATCGTGGGCTGGACCAGAGGCAGGTGGTCGACCGAGCGGCGGGCCACATCGCCAGCGTGGATGGTATGAGAACGGGGTATCGTGTAGGGCAGACCGCATTTGTGAGCCATGTCGTTGTGCTTATGAGCCGGCTTGTGGTGGCCATCGCGGAAAATAGTCAAGGTACTCTCCGATTTGGTCGATGTCAGCTGCGGCTTCTTGGGTTGATCCAACAGCGCCGCAGCTGGGGGTGGAGGGAGGCCGGTCTCCGGAACGGTATCCAGGTGGGGTTCCTTCTTCAGCGCACAGGTGCAGCGCTGACCATGAGTGCAGCCACATTTTGGACGAGAGTCCTCTGTAAAATCCAGATCAGAAAACTATGAACCAGTTCACCATCACCATCATGCTCACGCTTGTGATCCCGCTTATCAGTAACATGGGGATCTGAGTCATTCTTGTGGCAATTCTTTTTCTTGTCACCACACTCGCACTTAGTGTGGGTTGTCCGTGACTTGCGTAGGCCGCGACAGTGAGCGCATTGGGAGACAGGACGGCCTTTTTTGTTAATGTGGGTCAAGGGGCGGTCTGTAGCCAAGCCACGTTAGCAATTGCGACGGGAGAAGAATGTGATGCATCAGAGATAGTTGCCACACTTACCACTGTGGTGACAGCTGCTGACACGGTGACCCCGGACGCAAGCTTCACAAGCCCACTTCTCGCCATCGATAAGCATCGCCGCGGTTACTGAGAAAGGAACATGCGACGATTCGCGACGGTATATAGATCAAAAGGGTATAAGTGAACAGAGTGGGGGCCGAGAAGTCGCACGCTTCTCCGCCTAGTTTTGGTCTTTTATATGTGGAATGGTTTTGTATGAGGATGTTAAGCCGAACAGGAAGACCTGCCGGAGGAAAGCGAAGAGGCCGTCAAGGCGAGAAATTCGAGGTATAGGTGGTGTGGTCCGTCGCAAAGATCGGACCAGCAGAAACCAAGGCAAACTCCAACAAAGCAAGGGTATCACCAGCTTGAATATCCCAATGCACCGAACGAGGTCACAGAAACGCCGTTTCACCTGTAAGAGGGTCGAATCGCAACTGAGGTCGTGAAGGTCGATGTAGGCTGCCGTTACGATTTGGCAAGCCCGATAGAAGAAGCCCGGGGAAGGGAGTATAGTATAGTAGTGTAAAAAAGGCGAGAACAAAGAAGCGGGTAGGCAAGTTGTTCACACAATGGCAACACCCAGGTACCAGGGGCGGGATGGGCAGTTCGAAGCGGAACGAGCAAAGCCCAACAGGAACATACACAAAAATCCAAAGGAAGAATCAGGAGAAAGAGGATTGAAGGGAATGGGGGGGCCAAAGCCTACGCACCGTTTGGCGCCGGCCGTGAGACAGGACACCAAATACCGGCTGTGGCGGCCAAGATAAAGAGAAAAAGCGATCGATCTCGAGGCAGAGTTGCAGAAGTAACCCTGTGGAAAAGAGGAAAAGGGAAAAAAAAAGAAGAAGAGAAGGGGGGGAGAAAGGCGGGAGGGGAGCGGGAAGAAGTAGTCGCAATTCAGTCCGGTCGCTTTGGGTTTCGGCGAGAGGGTCAGAGGGGGGCGGCGAAGTGGAAGGGAAAGTGGAACAACTCGGCGCCCGCAAGGAGATTTGCGTGGCACCTCTGGTCTCTCTGCCTAACCGGAGTGTGTGAACTATTCACTGTATTTATTACTGGT